ATGTAGATATTCCATAAAAAAATCAGCAGTTTCCAGCTACAATAGCCATTTACAACATTAACAATGTCTACACTGTATTTCTGATCAATTTGATGTTTTAATGGACAAAAAAAGTGCTTTCTTTTGAAAATAATGAAATTTCTATGTGACCCCAAACTTTTGAACGGTAGTGTATATACAGTTATCTTTCAAATCAATTTTAACCCATATCATAGGAAACTACAGGATCACCTGCTATCTGTATTTCACTATCATAGCACAGTCTTTATGGGAAGCAGCGTTGTTGATGGAGTGAGTCGCTGCAGGTGAAGCAATTTAGGTAAAGTACCTCAGACCATGGACACATCATGATTGTTCCATCAACACCTCAGTCATTTTAGTTACACAAGCCCAGTTCAATCTCTGTTTATTTCAATAGCCTCAAAGCAACTGAAACCAATACTTGTTGATCAGCCAACTCTTAAATTTTCACAAACAGTACTAACAATGCAGTGGTTATTTCAATCTGCTTTAAAAGTACAGCAGCACATTTCCTTTTCATTCTTGCTCTTTTTCCTTGTACCTGGTATTGGGACCTTTTTGCCTTCTTTCTGTTCATACTGCTTCACAACCTAGCTTTCACATGCCAATGAGCAACACTGTCAAAAAGAAATTGAGAAGGCCCAAACACCACCCAGCATTAATTGCTATTCGTACACTGTCCTGTACCAACTCAGGCTAGACCTTCAATCCAATCCATTGCATGTTTATAATGGTGTTATAACATCATGATTTAATTGAGTAGTGGTAGTTATGAGTTCATAATGTTTAGGAAACCAATGTGATAAATACTGTAGTCAAGTGGGTGCAAAACTTCAAAGAAAAGGAAGGCTTTTATTTTATGCAGAAGCTATTATATAATTAATTCAGCTTTGGCAACAGAATGTCAGAGAGGTCATGAGGACAAGCATATCTGCACTTTGATGAGTTCTACTAGTATGTGAAGAGAATGGAGAGCCTTCCACACACATCATACACGCATGACAAAATGTCCTAGGATTAACTATAATAACCTTTGGACCACAATTCAAGGCACAACACCTTCTCAACCATTGGACACTACCTCCTGCTTATAGTGTTGCCACAATGGTTGTGCAAACACTGTTGTCGATGCATATTAGATGCAAATATCTGTTGTCACACACAAGATGTGTCAAATGCACTCAACATCCATTATTCTGCCTGAGAGTTTATGGGGCCTCTGTCATGTTCAAAGAACATGATTGGCATTTGACAGCTGCCAAATAGTGTCGTACATAGAGAATTGGGTAATTGTAATTTCTGTCAAATATGTTATGTTTCTGGTGATTATATCCTATTCTGAATTTAAATTATTAAAAGGTGTCATGTGACTTAATAGTGGGCGGTGGGTAGCCTAGCGGTTAAGAACTTTGGGCCAGTAACCAAAAGGTTGCTGGTTCGAATCCCTGAGCCGACTAGCAAGGCACTAAACCCTAATTGCTCCTGTAAGTCGCTCTGGATAAGAGCGTCTGCTAAATGACTAAAATGTAAAAATGTCAAATTTGATGCCATGGTAGTATCCCAACGCATCTTCTCCATATCTGTTGCCAAGTGAATAGTGATGCTTCAGGGACATTAATTACACTAATATTATGTGCTGTGTATTTTAAGCAAGCTTTCGAAACTTCTGAAAATATCCTCTGAAAGTGAACATCAACAATGATTTTAACAACTCAAGTCGAAAATATCCCCTGGTTTAATTTGTATCACAACTGATACACCTCAGAGTCAGCGTAAATGAAATAAATAATCTTGACATTGGCTGGAGAGTTCAATTATGAAATTAACATATTTATTATGCTATGCAGTGTGAAAAAACCTAACATGACAGTTTGTCAGGCACCTGTCTGTCAGGATCATGTGGTGGAAATTGCTTAGGAAAGCATTTTAGGGAACATCCTAAGAGGAGGATATGTATCTGTCATCAATACAGGAATTTGTTCAGCTGTCAGTTGTCAATCTTGTTCACCGAGTCTCATTCCTTCATGTCTGTCTGTATATCAATCACCACCTCTTGTGTCAACGACGTACCAGTGACGAAGATCTAATATTCTATAATCTTATCAATTTGTCTGAGGTAATTTAATTCAGACAGAAGCAGTCCCTGTCAACTCCAGGTGAAGTATCAATATATGTATGTCATTCGCCGAACAGAGTGCCTTTTGGGTAGAGTAATTTTGTCAGAAATAACCATTTATTTCTACTTATTTTAACATTCTGTCATACAGAGCACCTTTTCAACTCCATAACAAACATGTTTTCCCATCTCAAGAGTTAAATTAAGAAAAATGACTTTAACAGTGACAATTAAAGTGACAGGGTTGACAGTACAGGATTGACAAGTCTAGCCTATCTATCTATGGGTAACAGGGTTGATGTGTTATGCTCGACGCACTCCGTTTTCGACCAAAAAACACCAAAACATTTCCCCAAAAAGTAGAACTAGCTCATCTGCTTTTACACTGTGATTGGATTATTATGTTTAATGTTTCTTTAGAATTTCTTTTTTTGGGGGAAAGTTTTACCATATTAAAACAAAAGTTCAGTTCACGGTACATGGGCACATTAAATAAGTAAAAAATCTTTAGAAATTACTTTCCCAAAGCAACAAATGAACTAGGGCTTTACAATGATGGTGAAAACGTGGGGAAATATTGGGGTTAAGTGGGTTAAAACTTTCGTCCTAGAAATTGGATGAACATGATTTGGGACATGCCATAATTGGGATTTTCTGAGAAATCAAATAATTTATTTTAATGAAAACACACTGCTATTGAAATGTTTTACATGGTTTAGATTAGTTAGAGCATAGACATATAATATGTGATCCAACTGTTAAATGTAGTGTTTTATCAAAACGTACACAATGTCTGAAGGATATAAAAGGCAATCTATTCATGGAACGACCCATGTGTCTAATTAGCAACATGTATTATCTGCTTTATGACTCCCAAGTATTTTTACTGAATGTTATCATTTTTGTTCACTTCTTCAACAAACCACCAGACTTATGTCACAATTTCTCATGGGCAAGGACTGCATAGAACTTCTGAAGTTGAAGTATGAACTCTGAACATCTCTGGACACATGTCTAGGAGGTGGATGAGTTGTGGATGTAAAGGTCACGTGTGTGGTATGTCTATAAATGGTATGTCTATAAAACTGCTTCCAATCAGTATGAAAATGTATGCACTCACTAACTGTAAGTCGCTCTGGATAAGAGCGTCTGCTAAATGACTAAAATGTCAAAATCATCAGAGTGCACAACAATGTCAGTAGCAGAGCAATGTTATAGGACAATATCTGACTTTGAAAGGCTGTGTGAAAGTCACTCAAACGATTGATGCCCTTTGCCCCTTTCAGACTTTAATAGACAGAAGAATGGGGTAGTGATTATTGTGTTACCTAGTGACTGCCTAGTTTTTAAACTCCTGTAACCTATCATTGATTAATGCTAGCGAAGTGTACTTCTGTAATTGACAGTGAAAGCAGCTCCTGAAAAGATTAATTTGACCTATTTTGAGTTCAGTGAAGTACTTTTCATTGACTTTAACTTGTGGGCTTTTACATGCTAATTGCGGACACAACTTATGACTCATCAATGACTATTGTAATGTTTAAAAAAAAATATACAATTAATCAGATAGTAGAATTCTCTATTGGAATTAGCATCTATGTGTGCTATCCACAGCTAAAGAAGATTTTGCCACCTACTTTAAACCCTATTTCCACAAGCTGAGTAGACTTAAAGTATGAAAGCTGTCAAGCTTTGCTTTGATGTTGATGTCATTCCTCTAGCCATGCTCCGGGTGTGGATTTCTGCTATTAAATATTAGGTGGTGCAAACGCAGATCTTGTGAGTCATTGGTTTGAGTTGTTTCTTAAATGACGGACGCCTACCATCAACCTGAAAAACAGAAAATCAGTGTGCACATTGACATTTGGGTGATTCCTCACAACACTAGAACAAAACAAGACCATGATTTTGGGGATTTTCACTAAATGTAATCCATAGAAGGGTCCTTTGGAGGGAGGATTGTTGATATATACTGAACAAAAATATAAACGCAACATGCAACAATTTCAATGATTTTACTAAGTTAAAGTTCATATAAGGAAATCAGTCAATTGAAATAAATAAATTAGGCCCTAATCTATGGATTTCACATGACTGGGCAGGGGCACAGCCACTTGGGAGCCAGGCCCAACCAGTAGTTTCGTGAGGAATCACCCATTTATCATGGGATGCTGCAGTAACGCAATGTTATTTATAAAACTAATATGATATTGATATCGAATTTAAAAAAATGCAACTGATATCAATATAGATGTTCCATATCGGTGCCGATCCCTTGTGTGAAGGACGTTGGAAGGAGGACGTCCTAAAATGGACACCATATTGCTGAAAAATGTAACTCCCTAACAGAAATGGAAGCCTCTTCAACAGTCTTCACAGGCAGTCTCCAAAATTTCACAGGCTGTCTATGTGTTTAAATGCAGATATGTCATCCCATTCTGCTCAGAATACACACTATAGCTCTCTGCATTGCAGTGGCATTCCGTTGACAATACGCCGTGAATATTATTTTGTCAAGGAATTGTCAAATGGACTGGTCCTCAAAGTGTCAGGTTTCAAGTCCTGAAATGACTCATGTCATACCTTAGCTGTTGACAGGACAAAATGAAGCAGTGTTGTGAGGTCCTGTAAAACTTCAGTGACTCATCTTTATATTCTCTCAGTTGAAAATAAAGGTATATTATTGACATACTGGGATCAAACTTATAACACAATAATACTTTAACTTATAGCTTTCATATATGAGTGAATCACAATCACGTCCCTCAATGACTTTTCGAGCAATTAGCAGATAATTGATGCCATGACAGTTGCTACCATTAGAATACAAGAGGTAGCTATTGTGTTGGTTAATTACTTACCATATTGATGGTGCCTCAGTCCCACTTATCTCCAGAAAGTCGTATCTGTCTTCCAGCTGGAAATCACTAAAGACCAGGGCGATGGTGTCCCCTGGTTCAGCCAGAATACTCCATGTGCAGTCTGCATTATTCTCATACTCTGAAGGGAAATGTGGACTTGATATCGTCCCTGTTGTTCCCCTCAATGTCCCACCGCAAGCTCCTTCGGCTAAAGGAAGAAAATAAGTAAGACAAAATTGCATTACTGACTGGGTCACAACTTGCTCTTAGAAAATAAATCAGTCTTGACTGAGTCCTGACTCCAGCAATTGTTCCAACTCCTACTGAGTGGATGAATATTCACTTGTGGGAGATAAAGGTTTGACAGCTAAGATTGGCATTGCGTGTAAAATAAATGTTGTTTTCCGTTGCAGGTCGCAAGTTTAACAACAAAAACAGTGACCATTGGACGCTATTGCCTTGTGACCTTCAAAGACCTCTAAAACCTACAATTTGATACTTCAGGTTCCGTGATCTAGGACAATCCAGGATCACCACATCTTAATGTCACTCTAGGTCAACACAAATAAATGATGATCCAGGATCAATACTGCTTAATAGTGATCCAGTATGAACACAGCTAATTGATGTGTTCATACTGGCCTGTTTGGCCCTCCTTTTCTTATAGTCCACAATCATCTCTTTTGTCTTGCTCACATTGAGGGAGAGGTTGTTGTCCTGGCACCACACTGCCAGGTTTCTGACCACCTCCCTATAGGCTGTCTCATCGTTGTCGGTAATCAGGCCTACCACTGTTGTGTCGTCAGCAAACTTGATGATGGTGTTGGAGCCATGCTTGGCCACGCATTCGTGAGTGAACAGGGAGTACAGGAGAGGACTAAGCATGCACCCCTGAGGGGCCCCAGGGTTGAGGATCAGCGTGGAAGATGTGTTGTTGCCTACCCTTACCACCTGGGGGTGGCCCCTCAGGAAGTCCAGGATTCAACACAGCTAAATGATGATCCAGGATCAACACAGCTAAATGATGATCCAGGCACAACACAACTAAATTACAATCCAGGATCAACACAGCTAAATGATGATCCAGGATCAACACAACTAAATTACGATCCAGGATCAACACTGCTAAATGATGATCCAGGGAATGTCTTATGCTCCAAAAACAAATAATATGATATAATATGTAAATATTGATATTCTTGCCCCCCACTACAAACTTAAAATGTAGTGTCTTACCTCGACAAAATGGTGCTGGAAAGTCCCATGATGCTCCAGTACCTGGACTCACAATACAAGTGAGTACAGCATGTCCCTCCAGTATATATCCCATGAGACAACTGTAACGGATCTTGTCTCCCATGTTGTACCTTGTTCCATGAATTACTCCTTTTGGTATCAACCCTGGATTTCCACACGTGTGGCTTGGTAGCACTGAAAAACAAACCATATAGAACACAGATAATAAGCTCAATTCATTTTCATGGCAGGCCCAAGTGCTATTCTATTGTCATGAGTCTAGCACCAAGATCATTTCAGGTCCTCATCACGCACAAGGGCTCTATACTCAGCCACCTCTGGTCTCAGTCAGAACAGAGGAGTCACATCCATCTTCACAAAGAAAATTAGTAAACAACTATTTTCTCATCAGGTCGAAAGAAACACCTTTTATTCAGCAATGCCTTTCCACTTTTTTTAACGTTTTAGAAAGCTAGTTAAATTATATAATATTATTGTGAAGTTCTTCTAGCCAGTTATGTTTCTATGGTTAAATGTACTGTTCTAGTTTATTGGCATTTCAATTAGACAAAGCTTAAATTTGCTGAAGTCTCTAGAGAACTAGGACGTTGTAACAAGAAAGAGGTTAATTAATTGCAGAAGCATTTAAACATGCATAACTAAAACATCATCCTTTGTTAATTTAGAAATATTTTAAACAAAACATTGCCTGTCTTGTCAAATAAAATGAATCTACTTTAACACTGCCCAACAGATACCAGAAATAAGGGAGTATATTATTATTTTATACATTATGTAAGATAGTTTTCCTGATCCTTAAGACACATTCCAAAACCTCAACTTCCAGGGTTCATGTCAAAGAGCATTGTTACATCCTGCAAACTCTTAAACAACTGTGTCAAAACATGCCCTCGAGCAGTGTGAATTATATCCGTGACAGTCTCTATTTTTTAAAGGGACCTCCTATGTGTTTTATATGGGCCTAATAGTAAAGATGTCATTTAATGTTAAAAAAAATGTATTACCTTTTAATTTGGCATGAACACAATCAGCCTAGGGACCAGTCTGCCTCACAAAATAAGGGGGAAACATTGTTTTACCCTACCACTGAGACTTGCTTTAGTCTACACCTATGATGCAATTCCGGATAGAATTCTGATACTTTATGACGCATATTTGGCATCATCAAATTCGTACACCACATGACCTAAAGTATGTGAACATCTCATTCCAAGATAATCGGCATTAATATGGAGTTGGTCCACCCTTTGCTGCTATAACAGCCTCTACTCTTCTGGGAAGGCTTTCCACTAGATGTTGGAACATTCCTGCAGGGACTTGGGCCACAAAGTTGGAAGCACAGAATCATCTAGAATTGCATTGTATGCTGTAGCATTAAGATGCCCCTTCACTGGAACTAATGGGTCTAGCCAGAACCATGAACAACAGCCCCAGACTAATATTCCTTCTCCACCAAACTTTACAATTGGCACTTTGCATTCGGGCAGGTAGTGTTCTCCTGGTGTCCGCCAAACCCAGATTCGTCCATCGGACTGCCAGATGGTGAAGCGTGAATCATCACTCCAGAGAACGCGTTTCTACTGCTCCAGAGTCCAATTGCGGAGAGCTTTACACCACTCCAGCCGACGCTTGGCATTGCGCATGGTGATCTTAGGCTTGTGTGCGGCTGCTCGGCCTTGGAAACCCATTTCATGCAGCTCCCGACAAACAGTTATTGTGCTGACGTTGCATCCAGAGGCTGTTTGGAACTCGGTAGTGAGTCTTGCAACCGAGGACAGACTATTTTTATGCGCTACGCGCTTCAGCACTCTGTGAGCTTATGTGGCCTACCACTTCGCGGTGGAGCCGTTGTTGCTCCTTGACGTTTCCATTTCACAATAGCAGCACTTACAGTTGACCTGGGCAGCTCTAACAGGGCAGAAATTTAACGAACTGACTTGTTGGAAAGGTGGCATCCTATGACGGTGCCACGTTGAAAGTCACTGAGCTCTTCAGTAAGGCCATTCTACTGCTAATGTTTGGCTATGGAGATTGCATAGCTGTGTGCTCGATTTTATACACCTGTCAGGAACGGGTGTGGCTGAAATAGCCAAATGCACTAATTTGAAGGGGTGTCCACATCCTTTTGTATATATAGTATATATATAATACAGTATAGTCTGAGTTGCTATTCACACTTTCACCATCGTGGGGGAAAACACAGGATTCTCATAGGCCGCAAGCAAAAAAGCCTCCATTTATATGCTGCTTATGAGTATATTTCACACTACTTTTGGATTATAATTGGATCGTAAGGCTCGTATGAATGTCCTGTTTGTGTCATCGTTGTCAATCAACTGCATTATACTTAAAAAACATTAAACATCAACCAGTAAAATGATCTTTGGCTAGCTTTGCTACCAGCCTATGTCAATGAGAGTTAGCATTCTAGCTAACAACTACTGCATCCAAAAAAGGTATTTTGCAACGATCACAACTAATCTTAGCGATTGTTCAAGCAATAACCAAAACAACATTGTAAGCCTATGGGAACCCAAAAAAGTGTTTTTGTTTAGAAGTAATAACTACTAGGCTATGTTGAATTGGCGCAGATGGCTTTCTGCAGTTGTTTTCCCCCAAGGTTGGCGTGGTTTAGGGGAGTACTTCATGACGTGAACAGCGACTCAGAGTATACTATATATCAGCTTTATCTCAAAGATAGGTGGACTGTGCTTCAAGTTTACAAGATGCTTTATTTTTTCCCTCATTTCATGTAAGGTACCAATAAACCTGTCATGTATATTCAGGCTAAATTCAAATACATGTAATTCGATATAAATAAATAATTGCATGCCCCGAATGCAAATGCTGCCTCCTTAATGTTGTGTTCTGTGGACCTTTGAAATAACTACCTCTGTGCTGATTAGACCTTGGATGAGCTTAATGTCTTATTGCAGTTCCTTTTTCCTAATTGGAAATATAATCAATAGTGAAAGCCTGATACAAGCACCTAGATTCAGTCCAGTGGCTGAGTCCTCCACCCGCCCCCCTTTCCCTTATGGATCAGACCGTCTCTGTCACACCGCTACCCCAGTAGATGAGACTGACTGAATCATCTTAGTAAGGAACTGACATGGATCTGGAGGTGTAAGAAATCACCACTGTTGGGGGGCTTTTAGATTGTGACAGGAACAGGAACTGGAGAGGAGGATATTGCGGTGGCCAATTGAGGACAGGTCTACTACACTAAGGGCGCCTGGAAGGCCTCTGCATAGAGCAAGACATTCTGCAATCAATATAATATAAGAATGTAAGCCTGACTGAGTATTACTGTATGTTCCTACTGTCCTGCCAAAACAAGCATAAGTACCTAAAGTAATGTTAATCTAAACAAGTCACATACTGTACGTAATGAAGAGAAGTCTCCAAGCCTGCACATTCAGCACAACCTTCATCCCCCCAAATGTGTCAAATGACCAGCATTGGTTCAGATCTAGATGACCTGTCTTTTTAAAAAGCATTTGAAATGCAACAGTTTTGCGGTTACCTACATAAATGATTCACGCCTGTGGATGGATGATTCACCAATTGGGATTTTGAAATAAATGCTGTAACTTGTATTGTGAGTAATATAGTCTCTTTTTCGCCCAGCCCTCAGCCTTCTTCATCGATCAAGGGATTACTACAAACACAGGATTGTAATGGCTACATAAGCCAAGAGGCAGTAGTTGAAAGACAATGTGAAGATTTTGAGACACTACAGATTTTCAGACTAAATAGTTGTTACAGTATCTAATATCTGGAATTCTATTAGCAACATTCAAGAGAAGCATACAGAAAGAATATAGAAGGGAAATTCCAGCAACATTGTCACATTGTACATTTACATAAATGCTGGAATTTCCCTTCTTTGATGCTTCACAAAACACAAGTGGTATATAGGGCAAAGACACTGGAAGAAGAAGTCCTACAGACAGAAAATGACGCCCATTGTCTTAAATCATGAGCAACAGCCTTTGATGTTACCATATGTATGGTGTTAATTAAGGACCATGGCACGTCTCCCCAATACAATAGGGATTTTCTGAAGGAATTACTCACTTTCCTTTCCTAGCCATGCCAAATCTACACGGACTGATATTTCACCTGAGACATCCTTAATGCAGAAATCAATGGAGGCCTTTCTGTCGAAAAAAATGGTTAGTATCTTTAAATTCTGTCACAGCTGAGGGGCATTTATTATGCAGTGTTGTGCACTTTGCATGCACTTTTTGAGACTCTTTTTTATGTATCACTTTTTCTCTGTCATTAAGTTTTTATTAGCAGTCTCCATATAGCATCTTTTTTTTTTGATAAAAAAGGTCGATTAATTCATGTGTGCTGGCAGCATAGTGATTGCATGATGAACCTTATTGATTTTATTGTAATTAATAACTGTTTGTCAGTTTAATCATCTAATGACAAGACAAGACCATTAAACATCACATGTGAAGATCTGTTAGTTTTCAAGGGTGAAGAATAAACCCTTTTAAATTCCAATATACATGCTCAATGAGAAACCCAAGTTGGTTTTCAAGTAGGCCTAGATTTCAATGATTACCTATAATGTGAAAATGATGGGCATCCATTAAGATCTCTAAGCCTCCACAACAAATTGACACGTTTTAATGACATCTGAAATGACAGAAAATGCACTGTCAACAGACTGCATCTGCTTCCCCCCGCTGCCTGCCCAAACTGATTGCATCACTAGCCAGCTAAATGTAACATCCCCTGCAGTTGGTGTTGGTTCAGAGAATAGGGCTGCTCCAGAACTGCTCACTGTTGGAGATGTGATGAGAAGATGTGATGAGACACTACCTTGCAGTCCCTCACACTCACTATCAATGTGTATATGTTGGTAAGTCAATGAGTGGCATTCATGAAAACATTCCCATTTTTAAAAGTATGTAACTAGTGGTCATTCAGCCAAATATCACATAAAATACAGAATGGAACAACTATTTTATGTGACAGTACTTTGGCTGGATCCATTGTGGTCCCCATACACTATGTTGCCCTATGGAGGTTTCATCCAGGCACAAAATATCAATCCCCATTGAATGGGGGATGACAGATGTAAATGTGACTGCAAGCTGTTAAATGAAGATGCATTAAGTCGGAAGGGGGTGTAAGTCAATTTCCCTCAGAACCTG